CTGATGGATGTTGGAGAAAGGGTCTCAGAGGAGCTGGGTAGAAGGTGCTGCTGGAGCTCCTGGATACTAAGCTACTGCTGGAGAAGACACCTGATGGATGTTGGAGAAAGGGTCTCAGAGGAGCTGGGTAGAAGGTGCTGCTGGAGCTCCTGGATACTAAGCTACTGCTGGAGAAGACACCTGATGGATGTTGGAGAAAGGGTCTCAGAGGAGCTGGGTAGAAGGTGCTGCTGGAGCTCCTGGATACTAAGCTACTGCCGGAGAAGACACCTGATGGATGTTGGAGAAAGGGTCTCAGAGGAGCTTGGTAGAAGGTGCCCTGGAGGTCTCGGAAACTAAGCTACTGCTGGAGAAGACACCTGATGGATGTTGGAGAAAGGGTTTCAGAGGAGCTGGGTAGAAGGTGCTGCTGGAGGTCCTGGATACTGAGCTACTGCTGGAGAAGACACCTGATGGAGGAGCTGGTTAGAAGTTTCCGTATGGACATTATAAAATGGATTCATCGCCCATAGATCCGGGTATCATACAGAGGGAACAGAAGCCACTTTTTGAACTACAAGGACCATGATTGGGTCATAAATTGACCTGGCTGCCCTCTATCAGTATCTGTTTTTGGTGGTCCCTCTTATAGGACCTGATGCTGCTACTATTCAGACTATGTGTCCTCCATATTTGTAAATTGGGGTATCCCGCATCCATAAACCCTCTCTCCCGAGTTCTGTATTCAGTAATAAATTGTGAAAGGACCCCGAGATTCAAGTCTGGGAGTTGTTGGTGTTGCTGGATCTGGAGACAGGGCAAGTAACCCCAAAACAGGTAGAAGAACCCAAAATGACCAGCAGTTCGTGTTTTCAATGTAACTCATACTAGGCTGTGTGGCCAAAAAAAAAGTCACCGCCTGGATTTAGGAAAGCAAATGTCGTGAGACTTCCATTGGAAAATGACTGCCAACAAGTTATTTAAACCCTAAATGATGCAGTGAGGAGCTTCTCATGTCTTAATCCACCAAATCAGAAGACATTTCCTATGAACGTGGAAAAGATGGAACTCTTGTTTCAGAAGGATCAAATTATTGGCCGGCATCAAGAAAATAAAGCAACTGAGATCGCTGAAAATACTACGAAAATCGAGTTAAGATCTGTTCAACGCATTATTAAAACCTGGAAGGATAGAGGCCAACCATCATCTTCCAGGAAGGACAGTGGTGAACCTTCATCTTCTGGGAAGGATAGTGGTGAACCACCATCTTCTGGGAAGGAAAGAGGTCAACCGTCATCTTCCAGGAAGGATAGTGGTCAATCATCATCTTAAAGGAAGGATAGTGGTCAATCATCATCTTCCAGGAAGGATAGTGGTCAATCATCATCTTCCAGGAAGGATAGTGGTCAATCATCATCTTCCAGGAAGGATAGAGGTCAACCATCATCTTCCGGGAAGGATAGTGGTCAATCATCATCTTCCAGGAAGGATAGTGGTCAACCGTCATCTTCCAGGAAGGATAGTGGTGAACAATCATCTTCCAGGAAGGATAGTGGTGAACAATCATCTTCCAGGAAGGATAGTGGTCTTCAGGGAAGGATAGTGGTGAACCATCATCTTCAGGGAAGGATAGTGGTGATCTGTCATCTTCCAGGAAGGATAGAGGTCAACCGTCATCTTCCAGGAAGGATAGTGGTCTGCCGTCATCTTCCAGGAAGGATAGTGGTCTGCAATCATCTTCCAGGAAGGATAGTGGTCTGCAATCATCTTCCAGGAAGGATAGTGGTCTGCAATCATCTTCCAGGAAGGATAGTGGTCTTCAAGGAAGGATAGTGGTGATCCGTCATCTTCTGGGAAGGATAGTGGTGAACCATCATCTTCTGGGAAGGATAGTGGTGATCCGTCATCTTCCAGGAAGGATAGAGGTCAACCGTCATCTTCCAGGAAGGATAGTGGTCAACCGTCATCTTCCAGGAAGGATAGTGGTGAACAATCATCTTCCAGGAAGGATAGTGGTCTACAATAATCTTCCAGGAAGGATAGTGGTCTTCAGGGAAGGATAGTGGTGAACCATCATCTTCAGGGAAGGATATTGGTGAACCGTCATCTTCAGGGAAGGATAGTGGTGATCCATCATCTTCCAGGAAGGATAGTGGTCAATCATCTTCCAGGAAGGATAGTGGTCAATCATCATCTTCCAGGAAGGATAGTAGTCAATCATCATCTTCCAGGAAGGATAGTGGTGAACAATCATCTTCCAGGAAGGATAGTGGTCTTCAGGGAAGGATAGTGGTGATCTGTCATCTTCAGGGAAGGATAGTGGTGATCCGTCATCTTCAGGGAAGGATAGTGGTGAACCGTCATCTTCCAGGAAGGATAGCGATGAACCATCATCTTCAGGGAAGGATAGTGGTCAATCATCATCTTCCAGGAAGGATAGTGGTGGACCGTCATCTTCCAGGAAGGATAGTGGTGATCCATCATCTTCAGGGAAGGATAGTGGTGAACCATCGTCTTCCAGGAAGGATAGTGGTGATCCGTCATCTTCCAGGAAGGATAGTGGTGATCCGTCATCTTCAGGGAAGGATAGTGGTCAATCATCGTCTTCCAGGGAGGATAGTGGTCAACCATCATCTTCCAGGAAGGATAGCGATGAACCATCATCTTCAGGGAAGGATAGTGGTGAACCATCGTCTTCAAAGAAGGATAGTGGTGAACCATCATCTTCAGGGAAGGATAGTGGTGAACCATCATCTTCCAGGAAGGATAGTGGTGATCCGTCATCTTCTGGGAAGGATAGCGATGAACCATCATCTTCAGGGAAGGATAGTGGTGAACTGTCATCTTCAGGGAAGGATAGTGGTCAATCATCATCTTCCAGGAAGGATAGTGGTGATCCATCATCTTCAGGGAAGGATAGTGGTGAACCATCGTCTTCCAGGAAGGATAGTGGTTATCCGTCATCTTCCAGGAAGGATAGTGGTGATCCGTCATCTTCTGGGAAGGATAGCGATGAACCATCATCTTCTGGGAAGGATAGTGGTGATCCATCATCTTCAGGGAAGGATAGTGGTGATCCATCGTCTTCCAGGAAGGATAGTGGTCAATCATCATCTTCCAGGAAGGATAGTTGGTGATCCGTCATCTTCAGGGAAGGATAGTGGTTCGTAATAAATTCAGCAGAACTTACGCTTATGTATAATAGTGAAAGTGAAAGCATTTCGGCACACGCACAATGTGAAGAGAACTCGAGGGATCGGACTAAACCGCTGTGTAGCCTTCAGAAGACCTCATCGGGGGGCCAATCAGAAAAAAGTCTCTTTGGTTTGCTGGGGACCATAAAGATTGGACTCCTTTATGGACAAAGGTCATGTGGTCTGATGAGTCCAGATTTACCTTGTTCCGGAGTGATGGGCACATCATGGTAAGAAGAAAGGAGGTGGAAGAAGTGATGCTCCCATCATGACTAGTGCCTACCGTCCAATCCTGTGAGGGGCAGTGTTATGATATGGAGTTTGGTTGGTCAGGTCTAGGTTCAGCAACGTTACGTGCCCAACAATTGAGGTCAGCGGCCTCCCTGAACATACGGAATGACCAGGTTGTTCCATCAATGGATTATTTCCTCCCTGATGGCGCATTGGACATATCCCAAGAGGACAATGCCGGGACTCATCGGGATCAAATTGTGGCCGAGTGGTTCAGGGAGCATTAGACATCATTGTCACACATGGATTGGCCACCACAGAGTCCAGACCTTCACCCCATTGAGAATCTTTGGGCTGGAGAAGACTTTACACACAGTGCTCCGACTCTCCCGTCATCACTACAAGAGCTAGGAGAAAAATTAATACAACTCAGGACGGAAATAAAGGTTCCGAGGTTGCACAAGCTCTTCCAAACTATGCCACGGTGAATGTGTGCCGTAATCAAAGCCAAAGGAGGTCCAGCGAAGTATTAGAGTGTGGCACTTTTTTTTTTGGCCAGGCCGTATATACCGAGAAGACGATAAGATAAAAGGATACGGTAACATTGATACAACATCCTGACGTGGGAATGTGTGTTCTGGTCACCACGAGATGCAGAATTGCTCGGGTTGTAAAGCGGACACGCCCGCCAGGACCAGGCGCAACGTTGGATTTTGGTCCTTTGCTATAAAGTGGTTCCGGTGCTGCCCCGTACATTGCTCATCACAACTGCTTTATATTCAGAAGGTTCCATCACCAGTGAGACAACCAAAAGCTTTTATTGGGACAGGTACAAATGGTAAAACAAAAGATGGCGATGGGTTCCGGGTATATAGTATAGAATACGCCACAATATAGAAAGTGCCTGGGGGGGAGGGTATGGGGGGGTTTCTGTATAGAATATTGCTCAATATATCTGCTTTACATACAATCAGTCCCCAGAGGAACCGCCCCCAAAAAAGTCTCCATGATCTTCGGAGTTACGAATGGTGGAGAAGACTTCCTGATACAACCTTCATGAGTGACCGTTACGCCTGTAAGTGGAGATTTTTAAATGCCCCAAACTCCGCCCCTCCAGCTGCGACGAGGCTACAAATCCTATCAGGCATCCTCCCACTGGGAGTCATGTCTGAGTCTTGCAATGCCTCGTGGGATTTGTAGTTGCACCACAGCCGGAGGGCCATAGATTGCCTACCTCTCGTGTAGTCTGATCTCCCCTGTTCTTCAGCTATAAGCGATTGCTAGCCACTCCCTCCGCATGACTTTTCTCCTGAGGAGCAGGGGAGATCGGACTACACTGCAGAAGGAACTCCTCCAGAAGAGAGCTCCACCTCCTTTGTTTACAAGACTATGTCGGACAAAAGTTTGTGAGCTGCAATGTTTTTCATAAACACGTTTCCGCATTTTAAAGATCAGAGGAGAGCTCAGCCACGTGTTTTCTGAGGCGTACATCACGGTGTGCTTCTTCTCAGATGTCTTATGTGCAGCGGAAAAACATGATTTATATAAAAGACATTTCCCGCACTCGAGACTCTAAAGTGTCTTGAGGGTCGTGCGAGGTTTTTTTATGACTGGAAAGATGGGACTTGCGAGGAAAAATCTTTTTAGCGCCCAGACTTGGAATACGGCCTCTCCCCTTTGTGAGTTTTCTGATGTTCAGTCAGATTAGACTTTCGTGTAAAACGTTTCCCGCACTCAGGGCAGGAATATGACTTCTCTCCCGTGTGGCTCCTCTGATGTCTGGAAAGACTGGATTTGTCTGCAAAACATTTCCCACACTCAGGGCAGGCATATGTTTTCTCTCCTGTGTGACTCTTCTGGTGTCTGGATAGAATGGACTTCAGTGAAAAGCATTTCCCACACTCGGGACACACAAACGGCTTCTCGCCCGTGTGAGATCTCTGATGCGTTCTAAGATGGCACTTCTGTGAAAAACATTTCCCACACTCATGGCAGCAATACGGCTTCTCCCCTGTGTGAGACCTGTGGTGTTCAGCCAGATAAGACTTCCGCGAGAAACATTTCCCACACTCAGAGCAGGAAAACGTCTTCTCGCCGGTGTGACTCTTCTGATGTCTGGATAGACTGGACCTCTCTGAAAAACTTTTCCCACACTCAGCACAGGAATATGGCTTTTCGCCAGTGTGAGACCTACGATGTATAACGAGCAACGATTTCTCTGGAAAGCATTTCCCGCAGTCAGAGCAGGAATACGGTTTCTTGCCCAAGTGGAATCTCTGATGTCTATAAAGCATAGACCTATCGGAATAACATTTCCCGCACTCGGGACAGGAGTACGGTTTCTCCCCCGTGTGAGATCGGTAATGTATCTCCAGTTTGCATTTGTTAGTGAAAAATTTCCCACAGTCTGGACAGGGGAACGGTTTCTTCCTTGCGTGAGATCCCGGTTGTCTGACCACTTCTGATGTCTCACCGATTCTGAATGTCCTCACCATCCCGGCCTCCTCCGCAGACTGCTGATCATCCCTCACAGACGTCTCTTCTTCTTCTACTTCACCCTCAACTTTCATCTTCATCAGATCTTCACCCTAAACCAACAGAACGGCAGAAAGTCTCATCTGTGACATAGAAGTATTTATGATGTGACATCACATAGAAGATCTCATCTTGTAGAGTCCACACGTCATCTCCACATGTCAGAGCGTTCCATCACTTTATGTTCCCGCCCCTCAACTCCACCCACCTGATCATCTGTGTGGCTGTGGCCACCTCGCGTGGAATCCCGGGAACGCAGAGGACGGGGACATCTCTCGGATGAGCTTCCGTAACTCGATGACTCCATCGTAGTGTCCTTGGAGAGATCCTTGTGTCCTTCTACAAACTCCTCCATCACCCCGTACTCCTCGTCCTCCTCTTTATACTCTTCTTTAATAACAATGTTATAATCACCGAGGTCTCCACTCTGAGTATATAATAAAACATTCATTGTAACATAGACACTTGTGTATAAAATCATAACTACCAACAATTATCACCGACCTGATCATGGAGGGGGATGGTGGGACCTTCCTGTGTGGAATCCCGGGAGTACAGAGGACATCTCTCTGGTGGGTTCCTGGAGCTGGATGACTCCTCCATGTTCTCCTGAACGTCTGACTTCCCCATCACACCGTACTCATCGTCCTCCTCTTTGATCTCTTCTTTAACAATGACTTTAAAATCACTCTGAATATAATATAAAAATGGCATCAATGACCACAATGTAGATAATCTCCAGATCCCACCAGTGATTGTCCATCATCTACCTGATCATGGTGGGGGACGGTGAGCTCTTCCTGGGTGGAGTCCCGGGAATACAGGGGGCGGGGACATCTCTCTGGTGGGTTCCTCTTACTGGATCCATCTGTAGGAAACACACACACTGACTGAATACATTGTTTCTATGTGTGTATCAGATGATGGGGGATGTAGGCGGAGCCTCCGTACTGCTCTCTCCTCTTACCCGGTGATGTGAGGGGCGGGGCATTCTCCATCACCACGTCCTTGTAGAGATCCCGGTGTCCTTCTAGATACTCCCACTCCTCCATGGAGAGATAGACAGAGACATCCTGACACCTTATAGGAACCTGGCACACACAATGATACAAAATTTAGAGGCCACGCCCCCATTTATACAAACCATAATGGCTTAAAGCCCAAATAAAAGTATTTCCTGTGAAGAATTCGGTAAATTCTTCCTCTCCTTTTACGAGCGCCGCGAACCAATGGATGACCAAATGGTGGATGAAGTCTTCTTTAGAGATGGACTCCATCCAAAGTGTCCATCTCCCGGTTCCCCATTGCGGTTTTTCACACCAACCTTCATGTCCCTACCGTGTCCTGCACCATGTCCTATATCATGTCCCTTCACAACGTCCTGTACCGTGTCCCTTCACAACGTCCTGTACCGTGTCCCCTCACAACGTCCTGTACCGTGTCCCCTCACAACGTCCTGTACCGTGTCCCCTCACAACGTCCTGTACCGTGTCCCCTCACCGCGTCCTGTACCGTGTCCCGTAAATACCAGGATTTCACCGGCACACACTTGGAAATTCAAATATCAATATTACATTGATAGATTTGTTCGGTGAAGGAGGTCACATGACGTCACATGGTGCCAACGTTGCGGGTCCCCACAGGGATCCTTCGTCAGAGCGGCGCAGTGAGCACCACAGACACCTTTTTGAACGGTAAGACCGTAGGAGTGCGAACGGTACTTGGAGCCTACTGTACCGTGTCCCTGGTCTGTGTCCTGTAGTGAGGTGGAGATCAGCGGGGGGGACCCATAGTTTTTAGTGGGGGGAGGAGGGGAATCAGGAGATGGTCTCTCCCGGACGTGTCTCTCTCCTGAAGAAGACTTCATCCTACGTCGGAGCTCCGTTCAGAGAATGAAGAATTCACCTTTACCGGGAAAGCTTTGATTTGGGTTTGACGTTCGGTGACCATGTGACCCTCTTATGGTTTATTTCGCCATGACGTTCCTTTTATACCCGTCTTATCGGTTCAGGAAGTGAAATCACCTGAAATCTGAGGAACAATTCACAGCCAGATAAACATTTTGGCCCGTTACGTAGAATATTGTAGTTGTCTTTGTACCTCAGACCAAGAAGAGGGACAATTGAGGAGCAAAGAGGACAGCGATGGGGTTATAATCATATAAAATCTCCTTACCTCGTCTGCTGCCAGTTCCAGCAATGTCTGCTCTCTACTTCCTCCCACATGGAACTTCCTGTCTGTAACTGACATCACTTCCTGTCATAGAGACTTCCTGTCTGGGTATAGGTGAGATCACCACCTGGTGGAGCTCAGAGGGACTGCAACCCCCGAGAAACCTCTCGTAGTGTGAGCACGGCCTTGTCCTTATAGACTGTTCATCTCCACCCCACCGAGAGGGATAGAAGAATAAAATTCGTTCAGTGCCCACTCTATTGGGTCCACCCTACTAGTACCGGGTTGGACCCCCTTTTGTCTTCAGAACTGCCTTCATTCTTTGTGGCATAGATACAACAAGGTCCCGGCATCATTCCTTAGGGACTTTGCACCGTATTGACATGACAACATCACGCAGTTGTTGCAGATTTATCCATGACGTGGATCTGAGGTTCCACATCCCAAAGGTGCTCGATTGGACGGAGATCCGGTGACTGTGGAGGCCATTTTGGTCCAGTGAACTCATTATCATGTTCAGGAGACCAGTTTGAGACGGTTGTAGCTTTGTGACCTGGCGCATTATACTGCTGAAAGTACCCATCAGAAGACCACGGTGGTCATATAGTGATGGACATGGTCAGCAACAATACTCAAGTTCTGCTGTGGGATTTCATGGATGCTCAGCTGGTACTAAGGGGCCCAAAGTGTGCCCAGAAAAGATCCCCCACACCACCACCACCGGTCTGAACCGTTGATACAAGGCGGGATGGATCCATGCTTTCATGTTGTTTACACCAAATTCAGACCTGACCATTCGAATGTCGCAGCTGAAATCGAGACTCATCAGTCCAGGCAACGTTTTTCCAATCTTCTGTTGTCCAATTTTGGCGAGCCCTTGTCCTAAAATGTCCACTGCAGTCTATCACACCAATGCAAATATACACCGACCAGTCATAACATTGTGACCACCCACCTAATATTGAGTAGGTCCCCCTTGTCCTGACCCGTCCAGGCATGGACTCCACTAGACCTTTGAAGGTGTGCTGTGGTATCTGGGTTACCCCCCTAATATTGAGTAGGTCCCCCTTCTCTTGACCCGTCCAGGCATGGACTCCACCAGACCTCTGAAGGTGTGCTGTGGTATCTGGATGACCCCCCTAATATTGAGTAGGTCCCCCTTCTCTTGACCTGTCCAGGCATGGACCCCACTAGACCTCTGAAGGTGTGCTGTGGTATCTGGCACCGAGCCATCAGTAGCAGATCCTCGAAGTCCTGTAAGTTGTGAGGTGATCGGCCTCCATGGATTGGACTTGTTTCTCCAGAACATTCCACAGATGATGATTGGAATCTGTAGAATTTGGAGGAGGAGTCATCACCTCAGACTCCTTGTTGTTCCTCAAACCATTCTTCATCCATGTGTGCAGTGTGGCAGGGCGCATTATCCTGCTGAGAGAGGGTTGATTGCTTCCTCCTGTTGCTGGGAGGAGGCTCCAGCAAGCTGTATAGAACCTCCAGGTTATGACTATTTATCTGGCTCATCCAATCCCTGAGGAGCTTACTCAGAGGTAGTGGGTGGGGGAGATGATAAATGTTGGGGGGCATGTTTTCAGGACTCGCTCTCCCCTGGGGCTTCTCCCTGGCAGGAGGACTGTGTGAGGATCTCAGAATGTGGCCACGTGCTGGGGGCTACAGCTGGAGAGGACCTGGAGCTGAATCTTCAGCAGAATTTGGGGAAGCCACCTGAAACCTTCCTCGTGTTGACTGATTTCAATGGCTTTGGTCTGATTTGTTCATTGCAAACACCTGAAAGTCTGTAACCTTCATCTTCTAGCGGTGTCTCCGGGAACCTTCACCTTCTAGCGGTGTCTCTAGGAACATTCAGCTTCCTGCTGTGTCTCCGGGAACCTTCATCTTCTAGCGGTGTCTCTGGGATTGGAGCTGAATCTTCAGCAGAATTTGGGGAAGCCACCTGAAACCTTCCTCGTGTTGACTGATTTCAATGGCTTTGGTCTGATTTGTTCATTGCAAACACCTGAAAGTCTGTAACCTTCATCTTCTAGCGGTGTCTCCGGGAACCTTCACCTTCTAGCGGTGTCTCTAGGAACATTCAGCTTCCTGCTGTGTCTCCGGGAACCTTCATCTTCTAGCGGTGTCTCTGGGAACCTTCATCTTCTAGCGGTGTCTCTGGGAACCTTCATCTTCCAGCCATGTCTCCGGGAACCTTCATCTTCTAGCGGTGTCTATAGGAACCTTACCTTTATCTTCTAGCAGTGTCTATAGGAACCTTTATCTTCTAGCGGTGTCTCCGGGAATGTGTCTCCGGGAACCTTCATCTTCTAGCGGTGTCTCCAGGAACCTTCATCTTCTAGCGGTGTCTCCGGGAACCTTCATCTTCTAGCGGTGTCTCCAGGAACCTTCATCTTCTAGCAGTGTCTCCGGGAACCTTCATCTTCTAGCAGTGTCTCCAGGAACCTTCATCTTCTAGCAGTGTCTCCAGGAACCTTCATCTTCTAGGGGTGTCTCTAGGAACCTTCATCTTCTAGCCGTGTCTCCAGGAACCTTCATCTTCTAACCGTGTCTCCGGGAACATTCAGAGCCTTCGCTATGTTTTTGTATCCTGTTCCTTGTTGGTGAAGGACGATGATATCTTCTCTTAACTGTTCTGATCGTTCTTTTTTCTTGGCCATATTTCTAACACGCAGCCAATCGTGACCCTCGACAAACCCCGAGCCAGTTCAGGTATTTCATGTGTTCGAGCTCCAGCACAACTGGTGCCACTACAGAAGCCCTCCATGAAGTGAGGCAACACCCGTTCTGCAGCTGTGTGGTCTTCTGAGGGATCCCATTCAGTGGGTTGAACCATTCCATCGTTCCATTTTCGGTAGAATTTGGGGAAACCCCTCGAATCCTGCGTTGCGTTGACCTATTTCAATTGCTTTGGGTTTGATTTGTTCATCGCCGACAACTGAAAGTCTGGAAATGTTGCCGCCAAACCTGATTTGATGGATATTGTGGGTCCCGTAGCTGGTCTCCACCTGACCACGATGGCAAAACCACAAAGCACGGCTTTGCTCAGATGTGGTGATGGGGATTCCTGCGTCCCTTCGTGTATCGCTCGTCACATCCCATTTCCGTTCTGAAGGTTCTATGGCCAAAAACTTTTATAGGAACAAATGGTGGCAAGGAGAAGAAGTCCTGATACAACGTGGTGACCTTCCTAGGAAGCCATTACCTGAAATGTACGACTGGTGTTGCACCCCGAAGTAGGGATGCACCACTACCGGTTTTTCGGTACCGATACTTATATTTCGGTACTCGTCGATACCGGTACTTCCGGTAGCATAGAGCCTTCTTCCCGGGCAATCAGGAAGCCTTCTACATTGCCCGGGACATTGTCAGTTCTGTTTGGCCGGCTGGATGCTGATTGGCCGGGAAGCCGAATTGAGGCCGGCCAAACAAAGCTGACGATATGGTGACACGACCCGGCACCCCATTCCCCTCACATAGATCCTCAGCCACATTCATTAACGTACCAGTCCCTCGGCCTGCTGGGCAGACAGCGCTCTCCGGGATCTCCCCACGTCTCCTGTGTGTACAGCGCCCATGTGACCCGGGCTCAGCCTGCTGCTGCGCATGCGCAGACTGCCCAGCGATCTCATTCAGAAATCCTGTGCATGCGCGGTAGCAGGCTGAGCGCCGATCACGTGAGACGGCAGATCTGGCCCAGGGACTGGTACGTTACAGAATGCCGAAGATCCATGTGAGGGGAATGAGGTGCCGGTGGGGGGGGGGGTCGTGTCGCCATATTATCAGATTGTTTGCCCGGCTCGATGCTGATTGGTTGGGGAGCCGGCTTCCCGGGCCAATCAGCATCGAGCCGGCCAAACAGCACGGAGCCAGCTTCCCGGGTCCCATCTTTCCTCGCGGCACTGCCGGTCTCCCTCCGACCGGA